CAGAGAGCGATATATCTATGTAAAGTTCCTAGGTTTTCGAATATGGATTAATTTTCCAGAGCGGACTTCTTTTCAGATAACATCTTCATCTGAATAAAGTGAAAATAGGAAAATACATGGAAACGGCTAGCCGTGAGTGGCCGAACGGAGACAGGCCGACGAACGACTAGACGTTTGTTCGAGTGGCTTAGAAGGGATCAAATAAGTGTAAGTAAATTTATTGTTGATGGTAAATAGTGGCAAGAGAGTCGATTAATAAATGTTTAGAAACAGTGTTCCATTTGCTTACATCTTTGGACAAATGGATTGAAATTAGTTTGACATGAATAAAGTAAAAAAGGATTAAAAGAAAAGAATGTGTATAAAAGTGGCTTTAATTCGAAGCGAATTAGAGTGAAATTTATGTTGGAGTTTTATCTAAAAGTCTTCTAATTCTTTCAGAAAAGGGTCAGCGAATCCAACAGATGAGCGCTACTTGTTTAGTATCGATGCATGTATTAGATATAGTATAGACCAATAGACGCTATTCTGATTGTGTCTTCCTTTCATTTCGTCTTTTTTATTATCAAGACTGCCATTGCCAATGTCAAATTTCGAAGCGCTCAATTGAACTGAGACAAGTCTGAATGATCGTTTGAGAAATGATTTGCCGTTCATTAGTGTGCGTGTGAACCGTGCTATTACACTGTTACATGATTTGGAGGAGAGATAAATCGGTGTGAAGCTAGCACGAACAAACGATATGTTATGTAAAAAATTTTTTACTAAATATATCCCGTCCATGAAAAGTACGCTATTCGTCTCGGAATTTAATTCTGCATCGAATGATGGTACTTCTATTCGCCGGACAAACTCTGGAAAAATTCGTTCTGGATTTTAAATAGACCTAAAAGAAACGAACAAAGATATAGTCAACGTGTGGAATTTGGTCCATCTATTTAGTGAACTGTTGGTATCATTAAAACAAGATTTATGTTCGGATAGGAATACAACTAATGATACACAAATTGATCTTTTACTTGAGCAAACAGAAGAAGGTCTTCAAGCATCCAAGGAAAATTTTCTATTAACATTTACTACGGAAACATTCAAGAAATTCTTTTCGGAATTAATCCAATACATCCAAGAGAGCTTTCAAATTATGTCAATAATATTCAAGTATACAGTGGTAATACTGATTTTTTGTCCATTTTATTAACAGACTTTTTTCTGCATATTTTGCAGACAACAAACAATAGACTGAAACAAGACAATGTGTTCTTATCGATTTTCTTGGATGAACTACGCACAGATTTACAAAGAACAAAGAGCGAGCTGAAGGAAACAATCGAATTTATGGAACAGATTGAACTGAAACGATCGAGCAAAGAAAAAAAACGATGAAAACGAGTTTTAATACGAGATCTCTTCACCAAATCTCGCAATCCTTCCCAGGTCGAACAATCCCATCGGATCCAATATAGGATTTTATCAGATCCTACAGGAATTCGACGGATCCGATGAAATCCTGGTGACGGAATCGCATTGGATTCCGACGGTCTCTGATCCAGCATCGGATTTTTTTACCTGGGTTTATGCAATGGACTGAATCAACATGGATTGTCGAATGTTGGATTGAAGATAATTTTAAAGTCGGATGTTGATTATACGAAGTTGTCTTTGAAATATTCATCAGTGTCGACTATTTTGGATAAAATTGCAGAACAGTTTGGAACAGATGGCCCCCATATGTTAATATATCTTCGACAAAAAGAAATGTCAGATAAAAACTTTCACTTGACCGAGCAGTTGGGAACTTATGTACGATCAACTACAACAGCTGTCTACGATATTAATGAATTTTCAAGTCAATTGTATATGCATAATCTCGATCATAATGATTATATATTTCTTGCAGCCACTCTTTGAACATGTTTGTAAAATGATAAAGTAAAACAAATAAAAGGGAAAGATTATTTTGCATCCATTCGAAATAGTAAATTCATTACGCAAGTGGTTTTCTTTGTCTTTGTATAATATAATTATTAATGTATTCCATCGACTGAAAAGAGTGTCTTACGAAAGAAGTCCAAAAAATGCAAACTCACTTGTCTATATGTTCGCCTACCTGTCACAGGTGAACATGTAAGAGCCTCCTTTTTTTGAAACTTCACCATACCGAAATACTCTTGAGTCTTGATCAGCTTTGGAGCTGAAACTCGAGTCATTCTAGCTTGGGTTATAATCATTTTCACTTTTTCTGGTTTTTCTTAAATTAGAACTTGTCAGAAAATAGTCTTAACTATAACATTGAGACACATCCAGCTGAAAATCTCAACATTTGGAATTTGTCGAAACATTTGGAATCAATACGCCATTGATTAGCTTGTTATTTTATTCTTCGCTGGTATCACTCAATACAACTTTTATTTAAATTAATATTTTTTGTTTTGTTTTTTAAAAAATGATGAATAAAGTTCTTTTTCATCGACTCGATGTTCTTTAATTTTCCGATGACATTCATCAATTAATTGTTTCGCTTGAACATTTGATGGATTAATCTCTAAAACGGTTTCAAAATCTTTAACAGCCTGTTCATAATTTCTTGTTGCCAATCGACATTGTCCAAGACGAAAATGCGATTTTTCATGTCGTTTATCATGTGCCAATGCAGNTCAATATGACTTTATAGAAAAAACAAATGAAATAATATTCTAAAAAAATATGTAAAAACAAATGTTGATGAAGGTTATTATTTGATCGTTTTCCTATAAGATGAGATATGTGAATAATGGAATAACCTTTAGAGTTGTTATCATCTGATATGTAAAGGATAAATAATGTCAGATGTCATTCAATACTATTTATTGATAATTTATCTTAAAAGAGAAAGAGAAGAACAGGTATTAAATAGCACATTGATGATAATTGATCAAGATTAATTCTCTTTTTTTCAGAAATCGATAATTATCAGAAAAAAGAATCGTTTTCTTTTTCGTATTCAGAGAAAAGAAAAGACTTTTTTTTCTTTCTTTCTTTTTCTTTGCATCTTCATTTCTGTGTGTTTTATCGATAAGACAAGTTGATTAATAAAAAGACAAATGAATTGTTTTACTGAAAATTGTTGTTTTAAATTCAATTATTTTATTTGTGGTTCAAAAGAAAATTCATCGAAGAAGAAGAAAATCAATTTATCTGTAAGTTTCAAAATCAATTTTAAGAAATATTTTCTTTTTACTATGATTTAAACAAAAAATTGAATTTGTAAGTTAATTAAATATCTTCAGTAGATTGATTCAATAAATGTTCTTTTTCATTGAATTGATCAAATCAAAAAGAGAAAAGTTCGATTTCCTTGAAAAGATAAGAAAATATCTTCGAATTATCACATAATAAATCATGTTATTATCATTGAAATTGACATCTTATCTTCATTTAATTAGTATCTTCTCTTTTTTTTTTTCTTTTAGGAAAATCTTTATGTTAATCAAATTCGTTCAAATGACAAAATGATCCCTTTGAAAGATTTTTCATCTTATTGTATATTTTCAAAAGATAATTAGTAAGAATTTCATTTTGAAGACATCAGATGATCATTGTTTTTTTTTTAAATGAAGGAAATCGATCAATTATGAGAATAAATTTTGTTTTTCTTTCATTTAAATAACTGAAAATATGTTGTGAATCACAAAATCAAATGATATCACTTTTATAAATTGTAGTTTTCAAAGCAAATCTTCATTTTATTCACCTGCTCAATCTTATGTGACATTAAATAATCAAATTTTAGTTAAAGTAAAGAGAGTTTTTCGAAGGAATATAAAATAAATTGAACATGTTTTTTGTTTTTAGGATATTATTCTTTATCGTCATAATCCAAATGAACTATTAGGTTTAACTCTTTCCTATGGAATCACATCACAATTTCAGACAAATATTTACATTGAAAAGGTTAATTAATTTTTATTTATAAAGAAAAATCCAAATTTCATTTTGAATTTTAGATTGAAAAAGGAAGTCTCGCTTATCGACAAGGAGAATTTCAATGTGGAGATCAAATTATTCAAATAAATAATATGAAAGTTTTTAATCGAGAACAAGCAATTCAATTGATTCAAGGTGTTTCACTTCTTATTTTTCAAATCATTCGTTTTCAAGTAAAATTTGTTTCTTTTTCATAATTAAAATTCTTTTTATTTTTTGTAGTTCAAACAAGAACATTCTTATCAAAGAACACCATTAACTGAAGATGATAGTGGAATTATTTTAGGATTTGAAAGAAATCGACGACGATCAACTAGTTTATCATGTTTAACAAGAAATCATTTATTAAATCGATCTCGTCGTTGTCTTTCTTTAAATGATTTAACGAGAAAAAGTCAATCGATATTTTCTTTTAATGATTTAATTCAATCGGAAAGTTTATTCGAAACAACAACTACAGATAATGAAAAACATATTCTTAAACCACTTCCATTTCATTTTCAGAAAGATTTTAGAAGAAAAGATTCGAAATTAATTCGTCGTCGTTATCGAGAACGACGTTTAAAAGAAGATAATCATTCATTGATAACAACAACAACAACTGATGAAGATGAATTTAAACAAGGTCGATATTGGACACGAAAACAAAGAAAAGAACAATTTGAAAAATCTAAACAAAATAAACAAAAAGATTTGTTAAAGAAAAATCATTCATTAAAAAGAACAACTGATGATTTTAATTTATTAAATCGAATATTTCTTAGAGAAAATCAACAAGAATTACAAGAAAAACCATATTTAGCTGTACAATTTTCTAAACAAACAAATATTGAAAAACAAAAATTANTCAATTCAAAGATATTCGAGTTTATAAAAATCATTTGTTTGTTCAATATGAAAATCTTTCTAATGCAGATCAATTAATTGAACAAGGACAAAGTTCTTTGTTTCTTAAAGGAAACAAACTTGGTAAAATCAAGGATTTGAGTTTGACAAAGATTTCTTTGTGATTTCTTTGAAAAGATATTTTACCTGCAATGAAAATATCCGTCAATGATCAACAAATCAAGTTGGATTTTTATTTGTTAATGCGATGGAATTACTTGTTCGATTTTATTTAGTTGTGATGATTCGGAGGAAAATTTTTGTTCAAAAAAATCGTCTTATCAAAAAAGAAACAATTGTTCTTCGTAAGACTTTTCTTTTAATGATTTGATCGACGAATAACTTTGCTTTTCAGGGATGATGATCAGCAAAAATCATTCGTAATTCAGCCAGATAATTCTCAACAATTCATCGGTTGTCAAATTATTCTCGTCAATCATCGTCAAAGGTTTCAAAGAAAAACTTTGAAAAAGCGAAATTTTCATTGAAAATTTCTGTTAGAATTTATGGTGAAGAGATCAGTTCATACCTTAAAAATCATGGTTTAACAACATCAATTCTTGTTATTAGAGAAGATTATTCATTACATAAAGCAATTAACGATGCAATAGAACAAAAATCTCTCTATGGAATTATTATTTTACCGATGCATGAAGAGCGACGTTCAGCTTCGTTTCATATTCTTCATGGACAAATCGAAGGTTTTCTCTTTCAATTTACTTTTCATGTATTCAAATTTGTCTTGTAGAACATCGAAATTTGAAATTGGAAGATGGTTATGAATTAATTCTCAACAATTATTCGATGTTTAAACAAAAATCTTGTCAAATATCAACGATTCAGGATAAACTTCCATTATCGACATTGTTGTGTCTTTTAGCTGATGGAAGACAATTGACTTTAGATGAAATTGATCGTGTTCTTATTTATTTACTTGAAAAAAAATCTTACATGTTGAATTTACCAACAGGCAAATTACCACCATTACCTGTACAATATGCAAATTATCAAAAAGGTTTTTTGTCATTTCGAATTTGACTTTCAAAGTTATATTTTCAATTTAGATTCTTCATCGAATGAATTATCTCCAACGTTAATCGAACAAATTCGTGAGATATTCAATACAAATCTGAAGAAAACATATTCAACATCATCTTTATCACAATCGATATCAAATTGTCCAACAGTTGATAATTCAACTGCAATTTTTCAAGCATATGCACAATTCAAAGAAATTCCACCATTGATGAGCATCAATCATCAACAAATCAGAAAATAAGATTTGAACCTTTTTTTTTTATTGTTTATTTGACTTATTCGTAGAAAATCTACTTCATTGTTTTTCGCGTTATAGAATAAAGACACATAGTAGATCTATAAAGCAAATATACACTCATTCTGCAAGTAAGTATTCATGTTTTTGTTATTCATTCATTCGAAGTAGGTCAACTTCATGATATCTTGAATACTATTTAAAAGTAGAAATAATAGACATACAATTGAAATATTTGACCCTTTCAAACGATACTTTCACGATGGTAAATCCTGCTAAAAGTTACGAATCATTGACATATTGTATTACAAAACGTTTAATTCAATGAAGAAGATTGAGCCTTGTGAGTTGATAATTATCGTCTAAAACTGATGTGTTTATTTATGGAAGAAACTTGATTTTTCTGGTAGAATATCTTTGTTTTTTTTAAAAATATTTTTAGTAAACAGTTTAATAAAAACTAAACAGTTCAATGAACGGAAGCGATTTGAATTTCAAATCGATTTTGTTGTTCGATGTTGAAGAAATTGTTTGTTGATAAAACGTTCAATTGGTTTGTCGATAAAAACAAACCAAATGGTGGAAATGACTTGACTAAGTAGAAGAACAATCGGTAAAGTAAGAAGAGTTGCATACGTTATCGAATATGTCTTAAATAATCTCAATGGACCATGTACAATCAATTGAAATGCAATACGAATATGAATCAGATATGTAAAATAACTTAATTTCGATATTGGAATCCAAAATCGTGCTGAAAGAAATGATTTTAATCTTGATGAATGATATGGATGTGTTTGAGGACATAAAGTAGTGAATAACAAGAATGCTTGGCCAATTGTAAACAATTGTCGTGAAATTCCAATGAGAAATTTTAAGAAAATATCAGGCGGATTTGGAGGAACATCTGCTGTCTGTAATAATGATAATAAATGAAAAGAAATCATTCCAAAGAACAAATATTTTTTCATAATTTGCCATTTAGATTTCTTATTCGGATACGATTTACTTTGACATTGAAAAATTTTTATTGCTAAAATCGATCCAATGATGAAACTTCCGAATCGACATCCTAATGGTAAATAAACATTTTCCATAAATAATTTCAATGGAATTAATTCAGATGTTGGAGAGAATTTTGTTAAATTATATTTCGTTTCCAACCATTGATTTAAAAAAGGTGAAGATAATACTCGAAATGATGAATAACGATGTCCGATCGAAGCAATTGACATTGTCTGAGGATTAAACACAATCATCACTTGAACAATCGATAAAAGTACTAAAATGACCAAAGATTTATTCATTGAAAGATATTTTTGCTTTGAATAAAATAAATAAAGAAATAACGGTAAGAGAATATGAATTTGCATATCCAAACTAATGGACCAAAGAGGAGAAAATGTAAAATACCAATAATCAGTATTGATATAATTTTGAAAAAAGAGCCAAAGATTGCAATTTCGTAAGAATTCAATCAAATAATTCGCATTGGGATAAATCGGTTCACCGAAGATCAATAAAATCAAAGTAACTAGAATAAATCCAGGCCAAAATCGAAAAACTCGTTTTATCACCAGCAAAGGATATTCTTTCACAAGAAAATCTTCGTAATTTAACCATTTTCGATTCCATTTCGAAATTAATTTATAGGTTAATAAGAAACCTGATAACATAAAGAATATTTCAAAAGAAAAACTGATTAAATTTA